CGTCATATGACCCCCGTAAATAAACAATACTGTCTAAAAATTCCTGAGAATATTCCTTGTAGAACTCCAACAACTTCTTGTCGTAGCTGTCTTTCAGGTCACTTCTAGCATACACTATGATCTGTATGTTCTTGTCTTTGAGCTTATAAAGTTCAGGAACCAGCTTGAGTAATGCTAGGTTTCCACTTCCTCCCAACAACACAATTTGCTTCATAAAAATCCTGGGTTTCTTTTTTTAAAAACAGTCAACCACCTGAAACAGCAATATGCATTGGTGCTTTGAATAAGCGAATTATATTTGTTAAAGCTCGTTTCCTCGGTGACGTCGGGATCGAGAGGTGTCATGGTGTCTGACACCTCTTCAGAAGCTTTAATGTAAATACTCTTAGCTTGATCTTTCTTAGCTCTAGTCATTTATTGAGGTACCCTCCTTTACATATTTTCCTTAAATAGCCAGTTATGGAGGGATCACTGATCGTTATGCTCAGGCATGTTGCCAGTGTCATATTCAAGGCGTATGATTATACTCCTTGTTCATGGATCACTAACGTGAGCCTTTTACGTAAACTAGTCTGATTGTTCATCTGGTGCTCGTGGACCAGGTACTTTGAGTCTTATTAGTGGCCTGATCGTCCACAATATTAACTTTTAAACAAAATATTGTGGTTGTTGATTAAGAGCAGGTGAATGTTCGTAAGACCATATTGTGCTCTGAACCGGTGAATATGTTGATGTTAACGCTTGTTTGTTAATTAACGTCATTTAAGCCAAAATATTAAATTTGCCTTGTTGCATTCAAAGGACGGATCTTTGAAATCGGATATCGGTAAAATAACTGCTACGAGTATGCCATCTGCTTATTTGTGTATTTAAATTAAATATCACATTGGGTTTCTTATTGTGTGAAATTTACAATTTTCTCAAACTTTATCCTTAGTGAAACCCCACGCCATGGTGTAGTTTATGACAGTTTTATTTGGTCTGATGTTGATAATTCGCTCAATGACATATTTGTGTATGAATTTGATACGAATAAGCACCCTGATTTATGGATGAGGATAATTGCAGTCATAAAAATTTAGATGGTGCATTCTGTGTAGGCTGTGGGTTAGAAATAGATGCAATTTATCTGGTGTGTGATGAATATAGGCCAATAAAAGTAGAAAATACACTATTAAGAACGAGATTGTTGACTACAAAGTAAAAGTTCGAAAAATGCTTAGGAATTTCAACATGGTGATGTTGGAAGAAAGTGTTCTAAATACAGTAAGAGGGATGAAATTTAAGGCAAGATTATCGGCAAATGACAGAATATTACTGATCCTGTATGATAAATGCAAAATGGAGAATATACCGCTGCTTATTGATGATATTCTCAAGTACAGCAACCTGAAGAAAGAAAAATTACTAAGAATTCACAGAGATGAATTTGAGTATAAGAAGAAGGAAACGAGTCTCCTAATGAGTTCATTCAATAGAGCGGCTGACTATGCAACCAACAACTACAACATGAAGGTTGGAATACAGTTTGAAGAGGCATTTGGAAAAAAAGACCAGTTTGTAAACACAAATTTCTATAAGCTCTGCCTTGTTATGATATTAGCTGAAGAAAGAAACAAGAGTAAGGCAATGAAAGAATATTTAAGACAAAACAGACACATAGTTAGTAAACTAAATAAATTGTAGACGAATATTCAGGTTGATATTTATAAATTAGTGTTGTATTTTTAAAAATATTTTATTTTTTATGCATTTCGATATCATCAAAGCTGCAATACACAACTTGTTCATCTTCATTCTTGTTCTTGTCCTCTGGGTGGATGTGTTTTATCCAGGT